GAGGGAGGGAGGGAGGGAGGGGGAGAAGGAACAATCAACGAATCTGGACAAGGGCCGGAGAATGTAGGGACAGATAAGCCGGGGGGGAATTCTCTCCACCGTACATGCATTGCCTCGTACGTGACGAGAAATTGGAGGACGCCGTGCTCCCGCACGTATTGCAAGTAAGGGAGAGCATCTTCCCATTGGAGGGGTTGGCCCTCCTGTAAAAAACAAATCGAGGGATACTCCTTTAAATTTATTGCTCATAACGTGGAATTCTATGCGTGGAATTCACAAAGGCACAGATGGCGGTATATTTGAGACCTTTCGTGCAGATAAATCTCTTACCTTCAGAAGGCCCATGGTATCTCTGTCTGACGCAAAAAGGGGACTCTGCTCCTATGCAAGTTGATGTCCCTCGTGCGTCCCTAAGCCCACAGAGAGTCCATGCGTGCAAGTTGGAATGGATTCTGTGAGCATGAAGGCCTGTACATCGATCTTTCATCTAGTTTTAGGTGGTGCTACACAGGGGAGAACGCAGCGGCAATAGGAGCGAACAAATGCATACGTATGACGCACTGGGGGGCAGCGATTAAAATGTTCATGATCCAAAGGCCCGTTACCACGAACAAAACACATCTTCGAAGAAGCCATATTTATCGTATTCTCTACGACGTGAGCTATGTGGATACCCGATTGAATATTTATGTGGTAGGAATGAACTGCTTTGAGTTTTCCAGGCCATTTTTTTTCTTGCGATAAGGGGAGACTGTAACCTCGCAAACACATAACAAAGCCAAAAACATGACTTGTACGGTCCTGTCCGCAAAATGGGGCTTCAAATCCATTGAACAGCGTGTTTAGCTAGCACCATTCTGTCATTTTCCTCCCAACCTTTGCAAAAACATCTTTCACCAAGGTGGACGGATAAAAAACGGAATGAGCCGGCAGACCGCCAGGACGACAGTTCAATGAGGGGGGCCAACAAATATTCACACATACCCAGACCCCGTCGTCTACTTAGTAATGTATGATACCACTAGGTCTACGTGATCACTTGAGACGGCCGTGTGCAATGGTTGCACCAGGTGTGCGTGCAGGGGGGCGGTCAAGAAAAGTAAGCGTGCTCGCGTACGGTATCAGAGGTCATCGTCTGAAAGGCCGCCCCAAGCCCTTTCAAACGCATCAATGCACTGCCCTCCCTCACATTCCCGACCTCACACCCCACAATTCATCCCCAGGCAATGCTGCATGTAGCCTCTCCTTTCCTCCGTCGTCGTGCCTTGGCCTGTTTTTTTCCGTCTTCGTTGCCCCCTCCTTCGTCCTGGCAGGGAGATCGCGCCATCCTGTCTTCCATTGGCTCCACCCTCCCCAAATCCTTTGTTGGCGATCTGAGAAGAAGACTACTGCGTCGGACCTACCACGGCACGGTCCCGCGGGCGAAAGACGTGACCATGACGTGGCACGTCGAAGGTGAGGCGATAGCCGTCACCGCGCCGGAGGGAAAGACGTTATTGGAGGTGGCGCATGACAACGACATCGAATTGGAAGGTGCTTGCGGTGGAGAGTTGGCCTGCTCCACCTGCCACGTCGTTTTTACCCCCGAATTGTACGCGCGCCTGCCGGCAAAGAAGGAGGAAGAGGAGGACATGCTGGATCTGGCCTGGGGCCTCACCGAGACCTCTCGCCTCGGCTGCCAGATCAAAGTGACGCCCCTGTTGGAAAACGCCGTTATTACAATACCAGAAGAGACGAATAACATGCTGGGAGGGGAGGATGAGGGGAAGGGAGGGAGGGAGACAGCCTTCCTCCACCCCCTACCTGCAGACAGC